TGTCTCTATTTCTGTTTTCTTCTATCTCTCTCTCTCTCTCTTTCTCTCTCTTATAATCCTATTGTTGTTAATTATTATACATAATATCTTGATACAATTGAATAAAAGATTTCAACCTATAATTTTCTCTCTTTCTCTCTTCCTTTCTTTCTATTCGATCTGCATGCACGTGACTATTCTCGAGCACGCACCAAGCAGCACACGATTCCAATATCCGTGACGTAACAACAATTCCTTCCTCTCGTGTTTCTAACTAATTGTAAGACTGTGCAGGCCGATCCGTGGCCTCCTCCTATCCTAATCGCGTGATTCGCAAAAGAAAAAACCACATCGTATAGCTACTTTTAGCAAATTTACTTTAAAATTCCGTGCTTTAACGTTCGACCATGTGGAAAAAAAGAAATAACATACGAAAATTATTTTTGAAAATAAATTTGAAAGAAAGAAAGAAAAAAAGAAGAAAAGAGAGGAGGAAAGAGAATAATAATAATATAAAAAAAAATCAAATCAAATAGAAAGATCAAACGGAGTTGAATTATTTTCCTCCACCTCTTCCTTCTTCTTTTTCTTCTTTTTTCTTCTTCCACCTCTTTGTCATATAAATTTTCATTTCAATATATTCTTTTGCGTTATACCTCAAAAGTTTTACGTAGAAAAGGCCTGGATCTTTAACTGAAATCTTTGGTGGCATCAACGAACAACGATCTAGAACGCGGAGCATGACTCTAGCGAGGAAAGACTACATTTATATGTATGTATGCATATAGAGACGTATAACGCACATACATACATACATACATACATACGTACGAGGAGGTTGAATGAAATTACAGTCACGTCTCTACCGCGCTACTCTTGTAACCTCTCGAAGTTTACACAACGTTAGATGTCCTCCTCTTTACAGCACCAACCCCTCCACAACCAACTTGAATTCTTTCTACAAAGCGGACCTTGTTCAGCGCGCGTATACCGCAGAAATTCCATGCCGTCTATGGAAACGTTCTATCTCTCTCTCTTTCTCTCTCTCTCTCTCTCTCTCTCTCTTCTTCCCTTCTCATATTTTTATTTAATTTTTTTTTTCTTCTTTGCTCTTTATTTTTTCATTTTATTTCTATTCTTTTACCTTAACCACCCCATTCCTCTCGCGAATGGGGAAACGAAATTTTAGGCACGTTCGACAAAATACGATCAGGGTGATTAAAATACAAAATATATATCTTCGATAAATAATTACGATATAAAATTAATAAAATACAATATATATATATATTAGGATGTCCCATAAGTTTCTTCCTTTCGTTTTTTATGCGAAATCGATAGACAATATTTGTTGTTTAAGGTTGATTTACTGTGTTATATA